GGAAGAGTGTTCCACAACTGGTGGCATACAGGGCAAGTCATGGGGCACCTCTCAGTGTTGGGCCCTTGGTGCGTGACCAAGTGTCCGACTGGAAGAATGGCTACCAAAGTGGCATTTTTTACACTGTATTCTGTAAGATATTATTATGTGATTATAAACATATTTATTGTGCAATAAAAGCAATTTCATAAAACAGGACTGTATAGAGGACAAAAGATTTGGAGAAAGGAGATTTTACCTGCAACTATTTTACACTAAAATAAATTAGGTTAATTGAATTTTCTTTTGTAAAGGGGTTTGTTTTCTCAATTTCATTTCTTACAATAACAGCCAATATGCAGTATTGGCAGCTTTTTGATCCAACGAGACTGCTCATGGTCGTCATGCTGAATTGTCCCCCTTTTTTGTTGCACAATTTGAACAAAGATGATCCAATGTATGATTAAAACAGGCTTTTTTTGGAAGTCGTGAAATACAAAAATTGTGTATGCAAATATCTGGAAATGAGCCAAAATTGAATGGGAACAGGACTGTCGGATCATTTAAGTTGGAACAACTTTCCTGATTGATCCAGTGATTTCCAACAATGTATTCATGCGATAATGGGGAAATATCATTGAATACATTAATATAACATTGAAAGAAGACGAAGTTGTTCAGTATTTCTCTACCTCTACTTTATAAAAAAAAAGGTTTAGATGTTTCAGTGTCCTTCTGATGGGAGTCAATCTTCTGGAAAACCTTGGATTTTGTTGGTAATATTGACAAGTCTCCAAGTAGCTGGATCACAGTAAAGATGCGAGATAATCTTCATATCCCCTCCAAGTACAGAAGAAAATGGACATATTACACCAGTATTTTGGCAAAATAGATTAATTTATCTAGGGATTTCAGCCAAAAGCCTCCTTTCTGCCACTGGTATGCTCTTTCTATTTCATGTATAGATTTTACATTAAAATGGGATCAAGCAGGATGACACTTTTGCATAGATCAATTAATATATGTATTTGTGAAGCTATTTCACCTACATTCTCAGAGCGCTCTCTTTTTTTTTTAAATTACATTTTTATTAGTTTTTTTTTTTACGTGGCATAATAAGTACAAGCACGTAGACATAAGAAAGATGTTAGGACATACACTGTAGCAATATATAATTTAATACACTGTGATTGTGCACAATGTTGATGATCAGCAAATTGTAAGAGCTCAGATTGCTTTCTATACCAGAACTGGACCATCATTCGTTACTGCAAACAACGAGCCATCTTGTGTCGGAATCCTAAATATGGTCTATATTTAACAGCACCATGATTTAGATACATAAAATACTTTGAACTTTTATCCCGTAAAACAAGATTTAGAATGTTTCTAGTTACTGTATAGTATATGTGTGCGGATAGATAGTTAGATAGATAGACCGACAGACATACAGATATATTGATAGACAGACAGATTGATAGCTAGACAGACAGATGATATAACTATATAAATAAATAAAATAGCTGCTAGAAATTAATAATTAAAGTTCAATTTATTTGTCGATATTTGTTAGTTGGGTTAGGTGAACTCGGGATGCAACTTTCCCTACTGTAGTGACATAAAAATCTATCTATATATCAAATATTTATTCCCATAATAGAAACTTATCAGTAATGTGGTATTTTAAAATTTATTTAATTTTGTATTTATTTTTCAGTTAATTTTTGATAATAGAGCATATAAAAGTTAATAAAACTACTGGAAAAATTGTGAGTCTTTTTTTTTACATAATTTAAATGAATAAAAAATATATAAAAAATATAATTAAAAAAATACATTACTATGGAATCTCACTAGATTTATAAACAAAAACATTTAGCATCTCGCTAAATATAAAAAAACATTTATCATCAAAATCCTACACCATTAAGGTGTGGCATGCTATGAATTAATGTAATTTTTCAGTAACAAATATGTTATTTTACTCTATGACATATCACAGAATAAGTTAACATTCCAAAGGGAATGTGTTTTGCTACCATTTACATGTAATCTATATTTCTGAAAATCAGATTTTGCACATAAGTTAATTTGTGGATAATCAGTGACACATTTTACTCAGAAAGAGTTGTCACATAGAAACATAGAATGTGACGGCAGATAAGAACCATTCAGCCCATCTAGTCTGCCCAATTTTCTAAATACTTTCATTAGTCCCTGGCCTTATCTTATAGTTAGGATAGCCTTATGCATATCCCACACATGCTTAAACTCCTTTACTGTGTTAATCTCTACCACTTCAGCTGGAAGGCTATTCCATGCATCCACTACCCTCTCTGTAAAGTAATACTTCTGGATATTATTTTTAAACCTTTGCCGCTCTAATTTAAGACTATGTCTTCTTGTTGTGCTAGTTTTTCTTCTTTTGAATATAGTCTCCTCCTTTACATGACTTGCACTGTGACCGTAAAGAACATTCTGTGTTCTGAACTCTTGTTACTTGGTACGTTTTACACTGAAATTAATGCAGGGATCTTCATTTTGAAATAATTTCACTTTCCACTGTAGTTAATGTACATTCGGGTACATATTGAAATTACAATGACAATTACAATTATTTATATAGTGAAAACATATGCTCTTCTTCTATCTAATATCATTTTATTAAATAAAATAAGTCTGTATTTCACCCTGCAATTTACAGACTATCCTCATTAATTGCTAAATACCATTTTACGGAATATATTTTCTCTCCGAATTTAATATCACTTAAATTCTTTAGTCTTGGCCTCCTTTACCTTCTCATCTTCACATAACACACCACTCTCCTTTTAAAATGTCCCAATTACTCCTTGCTATTAAAACTACCTGCCTACACTAGATTCAAAACATCTAAACACTGAAAAAACACTAGTTTAGCTCAATTCATTTTTTTACATTGAGACTACTATAAATTAGCACTTTGTTGACACATCTATGCATTGAAAGCACAAACATGCATTATTTTAATTATTAGGTGTATTCATTAAACTGGGGATTTAACAAGTAAATCTAAAATTTTCAGTTAAAATGGTCAAGTGGAAACTTAGAATTTAGTTTTTACCAGTTTGGCTACTTTAATATAGATTTGCAGTTCTCTGCTCAATTCTCCATAATTTTTATGAATAGTGAATAAACTGTAATTATAGTAAATATAAGGTCTCTAAATAATTTATTTTAAATTGTTCATTTTTAGTAACCTTTAAGCAGCTCCAAATAAAAATTAATTTGGTTTATTTCTGCATAAAATAATATTTTAAGATATCGAGAGACTAGAAAATTAATAAATCACATTTGCCACACAAATCCATTTTAAAGATATTTCAAAATTTTCGATATGCCACATCCATGTAACATGGTATATTGCTTATAAATAAACTCTTTAATTAGTCATATATTTATTTATATAATAGTTTAAATATTTTTTTAAATATATACATTTCAAAATTATTATTTTATACGATTCCCGTGCCTATGGTACCTCTGTACAGTGTAGATATACTGCTAAATTCACTACAATTAGAAAATTCCTATTTTTTTACTCTGAAAACAGATTAGTTTCGAATGTGTAAATTAATTTCTTCCTACAATCAGTGTAGTTTTTATTATTTTACCTATTTTTTCCCACTAGTCAGAAGATCCTTTTTTTTGCCAGCTTTAGAAGTTTCCACTGAGCAATTACATAACCTACGAGTTAAAAATGTTATATTTACATCATGATAACCATTTTTTTAAAGTTTTTTTTTTACATTAATTTTTGTTACTGTGTCACATAAAATCATTTTAATCTCTGATAACTGGTGGGTCACTTAAAAAAATACAATACATTATTGTAGTTACCTATTATTGACCTACACCCTTTATATCAATATACAAAAATATGATAATCTGCAGTATTGCAAACATTTGCTTTTCTTATCTTCCCCGAGACTTCTGCTCAAATTATCTGGTAGAATCATTTAGTAGGCGATGAATCCATTGTGACTCAATGTAGAGGAATTTTATCACACCATAACACATTTTTTTCAAATAATTTAAATCTATCAATTAACGTTATATAATTTTTTTGTTTAATTTCAAGCCACAGTAATGATTAACCAACACAAGTTTAAATTATGTGTTTGTACATGTCTACAAACATTTGCGCCTTCAAAAGAAAAAACAAGAATTCAGACAAAATATCTGTTTTAAACTTTGTTTAAAGAAATTTGACCAAATATAAATCATAGTAATCATTAAACAAATCAATTCCAAATTAAGGTGAGATCGTATTAGGAATAGATGTGTTGTGGTATCAGGAATTTTATTTATATGAATTGTTGCAAACTAATATTTGCACATGTCTATAAAAATAAATTCTATTATGCATGATAAAATGGAAATCCACTGATATGTCAAAGTCAGTAATACATATATATTTGGAAAATATTTATTATGTTTACGCAGTACAGAGCTTCAAAATATGTTTGCAATAATATGATAACACACAGCATTTGGAAGTGTTTAGCCCGGACATTTTAGATTATTTGAAAAAAAATGATCAGTGTTTATTATTTTAGAAATAGACAATAATAGAAAAAAATCATTTTAATTTCACATCACAAAATTTGGAAGTTTTATTGTGTGCAACAACAAAAAAATTATCATGGAAAAAAAACAAAACACCAACTTAGGTCATATCAACTTTACATGCAGTTTTAGAATCCATGAGAATTCATCTTGTCTGAAGAACCCATTGACTTCAGTAAGGGGCAAATCATAAACCTTTCTTAACGTGTGCTACCCTAAGCAGAGCAAATGTCTTTTAAACCCTCATTACAAATCTTATTCCACTCTGCTGATAGGTTGGTCTGGGACTGCCCAATGTCAATGACCATGACTGAAGCATGAATGGCAACCCGACAGGTACCTACACTATAATTCTGGAACCTTTAATATAAAGGGAATGTCAAAATAATCTGAAATGATTCTATAGGATATGGATTTGTTAATACTGCTAACATATTATATAGGAACACACTGTCATCCAAGCAGCTCTCAATATCATACATGAGGCATAGATACTTTAACATACAGAGAGAAAGGTATTTTTGTTTAATATTAATTTTAGTTGATATGACATAAAAATAAACATAATTGGACCACTATATCCATCAATCCCCCAAATAAATGTAATTTATGGTCTTGATTAAGTTGTAATTATATTGTATTACAAAGAAGATAAACCTAGTATCGAAATCATTTAAAATTATGTATAATTCTCTAGATAAAATATTATGTTCTAAATATATATTATATGTTGCAAATAAAAATATAAAGAATACCGTAAAAGAACACACACACCTTCTGTCTTCAGATATTATGCTATTCTGAAGTAAAAACCATTTTATTTACATTATTAAATAAAAATAAAATAAAACGTTCTTCGTCATTTTAAATCATATTTTCCGCACATTAAAAATAATTTTTCAAAAAATCTCAAATAATGTCTCAAGCAATCTGGAATCCTATTAAAATCTGTAATCTGCTTAAATTTGTTTTATTTTGAACATATCGAAAATCTGTAATACAATAATCGCTATTATAATCTTGATGTGTGTATCTAAACAGAAATGTATGATCAATGTACACACATCAAATATAAGACTTACATGTAAATATCTCTGGGAAACACAGTTTTTCCTGCAATAATTCCACAAACTATGATCAGTAGATTATCTTTACACCATTCGTAGATGTTTTAGAGGAAATACGAGTAACTAATTGCATGTAAGTATTGGATTTATATTAATCTCAGCAAAACCCCAGTGTACAGCCACTACAGGCATTTACACAGTTAAACATATGAAACATTACACACAGAGATTACACATACAAACACACACCCAAATATATGAACACTTAGGGCTCCTTGATATGTATCTTTATATTCCAAAAAAAAGTTTTATATATGCTTATGCCCATAAAACATCATCAAGATATTAAAATAACAAAATTGTTGCAGAATTTTTTTTTTAACCTCTTCAAAACCTTTCAGTTCTCAATAGATTAATATTTCTTTTTGTGCGTGTGTCATCAGTGTTAATATTTGTAATGATAAATCCCTTTGAATATATTTTTTTAATAAAATGTCAATATTGTAATAGCTTAAGAAACTTGATACTTAGTAACTAAAAGAGAGAGACAGAGGGAGTGAGTGTGTGTATTTCTATGTATGTATGTCTATATGTGTGCATGTGTGTGTTTGTGTGTGTATGTGTGTGCTGTAAGCAATTGTTTATTAAATTAACTGTAAAATATTAATCTACACAATAAATGAAATACAAAATTATTGAGCACACATTTACATATTTACAAACGACACATGTTTGTGTGTTTAAATACACAAGTGTCATTGTTCTTTTGTATAGCTAAGCCATGATTGTTGACCATTCTAATACAAACATGACAATTCCCATAGACGCACATTTTAGTTAAATACACCAGAGTCTTAATGTTAAACAAAACTGTGTGTTTAAATGTATGCTAATGCTGGGAGCTCAAAGTGGAGCTATCCCAAAACAAAGACTTCTGAAATCTATTTGTGGGGAATTAAGCAACAAAAGGGAGAGGCACACATATACATCCAGATTGTTGGATTACAAAGCATGCATCACTATCGAACTTATTGCATGATACTAGTCACAATGAAATCATATGGCTTGGCACACAATATTATTTGCTCTATGTGTATTTAATCACAAGCTCACAATGTAGCCTTATTCAAAAAATCTACATACAGCTTTCATGAATGACCTTAAATCTCAAAATAATGAAGGAATGTACCTGCAAATATTTAAAGAAATACAGACACAACTGGCTTTGTATATTAATGTTTAAGTGTAAAAAAAGTAACTAAACAAATGTTCGTGTAATTATTGCTATTAAACTGGAACATTTTGTAATATGTCATTAATAATATTTAAGTGGTCAATTAATGTACAATAAACTACTATTATGAAGAATGCTAAACATATTGCACTGTATATGTTGGGGTGTTTTGTTTTGTTTTTTTTAATTTTTTTGTCGTTTTTAATTTTTCAGAAATGAAATGCTTTCGGTTGTAATTTTATCCACTTAGAGTATTACATATTTTTGATATATATTAGCTGAGATATAACATTGTTTTTTACAGATACACACAGCTCTCTCCTCATGAATCTTTACTGTATCCTATAAACGTACACAAAATATGCCTGTTATCACTGTTTTGATTAATGATGACTATTCCACGTGTTATGCAAGGTAGTTAATTCATTAAATTATTATTTTATTAAAGTTCAAATATTATCCACACGACTTTATTAGAAAACAACGTTGGAAAAAATACATTTGGAATACTTATCAACATTAAAACGTGTTCTAAATCTTCACTGTTACAGTATTTTTTAAAGGTATCACAAACACCAAACACCTTTATCTGCCATATATATAGAGCAGATAAAGGTTTTTATATATCATTTGGCTTACATTTTATTTTGCATTTCATATACAACATATACATAACCACAACTAAATGCATTTCTTAATGTCTTAAATCCCCCCCGACACTCCAAGTCATTAAAAAAAAATCTTCATTCACATTTTAACTCACAGAACAAACAATAATCAGATTTTTTTTTTTAAATAAAAAATAATGCACATAAAAAAATAAATATTAACCTGAAACAGACTCAGTAATTTATCATTTTTAGATGTAATTATAATTATATGGCATATGTTTCATTATGCAAAATAGTTGTTTTAAGTTGATAAAAGCACAACATATACTAAATAGAGTAAAACACTTACTGTATTACAATAACGAATATTATAGGCTTTTTTATATTCTATTTAATTTTGAGTACTCATACCTATTACATCAAAAAAACATAAAAAAGCATTTAGAGGATTTTTTTGGTCCCCACTTAAAAATGTATACACACAGATTGATGAGAAAACAACTTGAATTAGTTTTATATATTTTTTTCCTCAAGGACGTAAGGGGTTAAATGTGAAGCTACAGTTTCAAGCAAGCCCTGTTAATCACCAAACCTAACCAAAAAATGAATGACCACAATTAGATTTGGGGATAATGGAAATGTCATATGCAATATATATACCAACAAATATAAATATGTTTGTATCTATATATGTATACACACACACACACACAAGATGCCAAAATCCAAGAGTTTTCCTCTCTTCCTCAGGTCTAAAGCAATGCTGATCAATCTGATCGAGTTTAACCGTTAATAAGTGTTAAAGTTAAACTCTATCAGATTGATCAGCATTGCTTCAGACCTGAGAAAGGGAGGAAAAGTCTTGAAAGCTTGTCTTTGAAATATTATCTTAGTCCAATAATAAAGGTATCATTGGAAACTGCAATACTCTGGGATTTTGGCATCTTGTCTACTGTACTAATACGGCTAATCCAATCTACACTACATATATATATATATACACACACACACACACTCATATATATATATATACACTCTCTTATTATCTTACATACATATTTATATATACATAATGTTGAAAGTACGAGCATTTAAAAACAGGCAAATATACATAGAATTTGCAAGCAATAAATTCATCGTTCACTGATATACTGAAATATTATATCATTGCCATAGTCCCTTCTCAAATTATATTCTCTGTGTGATTTTTCAACTCTTGCCTAACACTTTTCTATAAATTGCTATCTAAACCTATACCACACTTTCCTAAAAAATATCTCAGATCAGAATATTATTAAAATGTATTTAAATGGCAGATATTTCATTAGAACGTAGAATTTTTTTTCTATTTACTTACCAACCTTATTTTATCATTTTATTATTTTTAGATTCTTTTATTGGATACTGGGACACAGTTAAGACCTCTGAGGTCTTCTTTTAGAGCGTTTGACTGTGCCTTTTCCAAAATGTGGAATGAACACCCTTACAAACCGTTTCTCACACTCATTACTGGCAAGCAGATTGATGTCAATAACGTAAAGGCAAGTGGTTTTTCTCCAAAGACAAAATCTAATTCCTTCACAAAATCTAATTCCCTTTATTTTCCTTCACAAAATAAAAACACCTTACATAATTGGTATGTCTTTTTAAAGACTATAATCTAACACCTTTAATACATGCATTGAAACAAGAAGCGTAACTACATTTATTCTATGCCTATATTTTTTTTATTTATCATTAATAAGTCATTTGTGGCACAATTATTAAAAATGTAAAATAAAAATCTATTAAAATCTATCATTGTTGTTAATACACTGTGACAAGAAAAAAAAAAGCCACAGCTGCTTTGCCTATTTAAAAAAAAAAAAGTGGATATTACTCCCACGCTGTACATAGGATGCGAGATTTGCATATATGCTAATGAGTCAATAATTACCAGTCAGATATGCATGACTGTAGAAGCTCAATTTCATCAAATGCATAACTGAAGCAAAAAAAAAGACTATATTTCGCCCTTTCCCTGCCCCCCCCTTCAAAAAAATATCAATACAGCAAGTCGAGCTTGCCCAGATCTGCATATAATCTTTTTTAAATATAATACGTATACTTTACGTATGGCCTACGTGACGTATCCCTGTGCAGTTTGTATATCCTTGCGCCATGCCAATATCCCCTTTTTCTTGCAAACCGTTTCATTCCCCTCTTCAGAACAGTCCTATTTTGCTGAAGGTCATTTCCCCCGGAGAGTACAAAAAAAAAAAAAGAGTAAGAAAAAAAGAAATAAGTAAAAATAGGGTTAAAAAAATGGAGACATTCGGAAGACACGTTGTATGTCTTCCCATCGAGCTGTTGCAAGGTGAGTCGATACTTATCAGGTAAGTTACAAAATATATTATTTATTGCTAATTTGTTTGGCTGTATAGAAGCTGCAGAATTGAGATATAAGTGGGAACAAGAGGAGAAGAGAATAGACACCAATAAAAACAAAAAATGCAAACGCATAGACAGTAGTTATCAGATTTTCTTCTCTTCAATAGCGATAACGTCAAAGATACGTTATTAAAAATAACAGTAATAATTATTGAGTGAAAGATCAGGGTCTAAAATTCATCTCTGTTAAAAAAAATAAAAAAAAAAAATAAGTAAATTCCATCAACTGTACGTTAAATCGAGCTCTTCTTTTAGGGGATAAAAAAGGAAGCAATCAAGGGGTGTTCGTCTTTTGCTTTTAATTATAATTATTCCCTCTCTTAGCTTGCTTTCTCCTAATGAGCATTTTTTTTTTTTTTTTAAAGCTTGAATGGGGTGGGGGGTTAATACAGAGAGTGTGTCACATGGTATTGAAGAGGGGCGTGCTTAATTCAGCTCCCAGAGCGTATTAACAATATGAAAAGAATTGTCTGAACAAAAGCAAGGGACACAAGAGGTTCCTTTTTTATCAGTGGGTGAGAAGATAATATTAATATGTGTCTATATATATATATATATTTTAAATAAATAAGTTTAAATAAAAGGAATGGGGGAGGGAGCTAAAGAAATCATAAAAAAGATACTAAGAGAAGGAGAGGTGGGGGAGGGAATGTACAGAAATTTATCTGAAAGGGTTTTTATTTCAAAGGCAGTGAGGCAGATAAAATGAAAAGAAAATATGTGTCTGTGTGAGAAAGGTTTGTGATAGCAGTGTGATAATGCAGATATGCAAGATTGCCGAAAATATGTTGATAGCAAGGAATAAAATGAACTACCAAACAATGGGTATTATACTCACCTATATGTAATTTCGGGGGCTGGATCAACCAAACAACAAAAAATACAAGTCTCAGAAGAGTTAGAAAACATGTCTGTCTGTCTATCTATCTCTCGATCAATCTATCAATCTACTCAAATATCTATCAAACTATCTATTTATCTACTCAAATATCTATCCATATATCTATCTAGATTAGCAAAATAAAATAAACTAATTAAAGAATCTCTACCAGAACTTTGTAAATTGCCTAACTTACTATCTATCCGTTTTGTCCATCTTCCCATAATCAGTGCAGAGAAGCTATGGTGAACCCATTGGACGGAAGCCGCTTTTTTGAAGGGGTAAGTATGAGAATTGTTTATTTAAGAAGGACCGACCATGCAAATTGTCCTGGCTAATTATGCCAGAATGGAAGTCTGGGTACTTGAAATGCATTTAAAAAAAAAAAAAAACACACACACGCACACAAGGGTTTAGTCAGTGGAACAAAATTAGAGCAGGAATTGAAGGCTGAGCTATGGGAGAGAGCAGGGTGTCTGTGAGAGCCCTTTGACAATGAACTTGAGACATCTCATTAACATTCAGGAGACTGCCTGTCAAGTTCAGGACGTACCGAGTTCCCATGCAAGAAGACAGAAAAGTGAATTGATTGTGCATTTTCTACGGCCCATTAACTTGGCTTCCAAAGAGAGTCTCAAAATTAGTCCTGGAAACCAGACGTTAAAAAATGCAGATTCAGACCAACCTAACAGTCGGATTTATACACTCCTAGTGGGATAAGATAACTGTTGAATAAACAGCATATATGGCTTCTGTAGACGTCATAGGTTTAAAAAACAACATTTAAAGATCTTCTCTTTGTCTATTCAAGTTTAGAATGCTGGGGTAGAATTTTGTTTCTTATGGTAATGTGTTCTTTGCTGTCCAAAGCCTGACTTGAGAATGCAACTTTGCATTAGCAATTAACGTGAAGGGTTGATTCCTCCTCACTTCTGACCTACAGGAACACTTAAAATGTAAAGCATTTGGGCATAAAGAGAATACGTGTGTTCCGTTTTCCAAGAGTTATTTTACAGAATCGGATCTTCTCTTTTTTTTACATTTTTGGGGTAAGAGAAAAAAATAAATAAAAAATCTAAATAAATTCGGCAAATTTTTATGGTCTTAGCTGCTTCTCGGAGTCTTTCTTCAATTTGTATGAGCTCAGAATGACGAACCTTGAAAAGTATAGAGCAGTGAAGAGAGGAGATGGGATTGTATTATGTTAGGTGACTAAAGGACATCCCACACCTCTTTCTCCAAATCATCCACGCCCCCTTGTTAAACCCTTCCCCAATCAACATGGTCTTTGGTCCAAAATCAGAGCAAAGCAAGGAGGAGTCAAAAGATAAAGCAGTATTTATGTGAAAAGAACCAGTGATGATTTTGGAACACTCATTATTGTATGAGTTCGGGTGGAGAGTCTCTTGAAGTATAAGCAATTCTGGGTTTTGTTGCAGCTGCTTCGGTTAGCGGATCTCCATTATCTCTCAACGCAATATTTGACTTTTTGGTGCGAAACGTTGAAAAAAAAAAAAAAAAAAGAACAAGTACATCTGCGAAGAACGAAAGAAAAAGAAAAAAGAGAGAGAGAGAGATAAAGGAGGGAAATAAGGAATCGAAAGAGGCTACTGTAGAAAAAAAGCCCTGAGTGGACAGAGCTGACCTACGTCACACAGAGATGGAACCAACAGCCACAAGAGGGTAGGATGTAAGGGAAGACGCCACTCATTTTGTTAGCATCTCCAAGAAATGCTGCATCCATCACACAAGGCAACCAGTACTTTACGGTGAGTTCTGATTATTTAATTTGATTTTTTTATCAGGCAGAGCTTATTAAATCTTTTGCAACATGTTCCCAGAGGATTAGGTTTCACAGGCACGGAGATATCGTGGTGAACAAATCACAAATACAATATTCTTGGCACGAATGTAAGAAAGAAAAAAAAAAAAAATCAAATTGCACCCAGTGCTATACTATAGCAACATAAATTAAATATTGTTTAGTGTTAGGTGTATTGTTTAACTGGATGTGGGATTGGCAGGGGTCTTGAGTCTTTCAGTGATAATTTGATCAGAATACTGGGGGCTTGGATAGTAGTTATGGTGTAAACTGGTGATACAGTCACAGCAGCTCATTAAGATTTTCCATGCTTGCACTTGGCATTTTAATTAAAAACAGATTGGGGGTGCAAACGACGACTGGGATTTGCTTTTAAAAATCGGTCCACAAGCTTGTTTAGAGAAAAAAGGCCTATTGGAGAAATGAATTTATTTTTATTGTGTGTTTTGTATAGGGGTACAGGCCCTTTAATAAAACCATGCAAATAGCTTTAGAGGCAAAATGTGCAAGAATTGAACCCTAACCAATTAAAAAACACAAATCCTCTGAATTTCTATTTGTTGATCAATTTATAAAAATTTAGCTTAATTTAGATAGTGACTGGCATTTTCATATATTATATTTATTTACTGACAGTAAGTCAGAGTAATTTTATGTCCTTTACTCATTCGCAATAAAGTTGCTTATTTAAAGATTCACTGAAATCAAAGGTAAGAAACTAATGTATAAAATAAATAATTATTTAACCAAAGACTATAAATTAAGTATGTGTATGTGGATGTGTGTGTCACATACATAGAGCTCTACACTAACCACCTGCTCAGTATATCATTTTATTGTTTAATTATGTAATTATATACCAACAACCCTGCTCTTTAAATTAAATTATTGTGAGTAATTATTGATTGTAAGGATTGTAATTTGTAATTAATATATTAATATATTATTAGTGTTTTTTTCTTTTCTTTTTTAACATACATATGTATGCATGGCCTTTATTCATTACTATTTATACTATATATGTCCTAGGACATACTTGAAAACGAGAGAAATCTCAATGTATCCTTCCTGGTAAAATATTTTTATAAATAAATCCCTATATTTATATATATATATATATATGGTGAGGATTTGAATGGTATAATGCATATAGGCCTACTATATCACAAATTCTGTTTATTCCAGTTTTAAAAAAAAATTAAACAATTATATTTATTATAATGTTATTTTCCTTACATTTAATAATTTCCATATATTATTTATTTAACAAGATTTTTAATCTACATTTACATAGTAAAATTGTAATAAAATACAGGCATGCTATATAGTATTAAAAAAAAAAATCTATTGGCAAGTAATCAATATACATTCACACACATACACATTCAAAATTATATTGGAAAGCAGAGTTTTATAAAATGCATTTAAAAGGTTTGAAGTATTTAGAAAAATAAGATTAATTTTTGTTCCTTTAGGTTTTTTTCACCAGTTTAATCAACATATATAACATTTAAAAACATATTGCTTCAACCTATTTTAACTGATTAACATATAAATAATATTTATACTAAAAATGTAAATGTTTAAGAATATACATTTTTAACTGTATTATGGTACTGAATGAATCTGCAGATCTGTGCAATCAGGCCTTTTAACAGAGCTTCTTGAAGCAGCATTGTACATCTGATAAGAATGGTGTGAAAAAAAGCACTGTTATCTTAATTGCAGATTAATATAGTTGTTCAAATGATGGATTTCCTTTTTAAAGTAGGAGAAAGGAAAACACCACTGATTTCTATAAGTGGCTGTCAGTTCTTGCTAGGTAACATTAGCCTTCCTCGGAATGGTATAGGACGTAGCACGGAAAGCTTTGCACAGTCATTCAGGGACTCCAGATGTCCAACCGCATCAAGGAAGAAGTGGCCTTTCTATTCTTTTTACAAGAAAATAGACTTAGGGTGAATTTAGAATAAAAAATAAATAAATAATAATAATTTTGTCCTTTTTCTTTGTTTATCAGGAGAACATGTGTTATCTCCTATATTTATTTATTTTTACACATTTCAGTTTGTTTCTTTTAACAATTTAGGTAAAAAAGTGTGATATATATCCACATATATACACACACGTACACATTGTGTAGCTTGACACACACTAACATATACAGTATATACAAAATACTAATTTAATTTGATATATATATATATATATATATATATATAGATATACACACATACACATATTTTACTAGTATGCATTTGACATTTTTATCATTATCACTTGTTGTGTAAATAAGTAAGTTCTAACATAGAACACTAACAGAGAATATGGATAGAACGAACCATCTAGCATTGAATAGGAATTAGCATGGCTTAGAGGATGTTGAGATGGTGGATTCAGGACCATATGACCAGGCATTGATGGGCTCGTATGTAAGTAGGCCACGTGGGGAAGATGCTGAAGACACCTTCGCGTTTCCATGGCCGATGTGATTCTGCCATAAAGTGTTCCGACATGTTATGTGGTATATGCTAAGTACGCAGGTCACATGCTTCATTATCTGACAATTCCCTTGGCGTCCATGTTTAATGCCAGAGGCAAAATAGCGCCAACGCGTCGTCATTGTTTTTTCTTTCTTTTATGTAAAACGATACATTTTAGTAGGAAGGAGGAAAATATTTTTTTAAATCTAGTAATATTAGAAATATAAAAAAAGCCAACGTTGTTTAAAATATATAGCATCACATCTGGCTGGGAAGGTTTACTTCTGAATAATAAAGTTCAGGCCTTCCTCTCTTAATCCTCTAGCCCCCCTCCTCCCTCTCTCTCTACCCCCACTCTGTCTCCCTGTCTCCCACTCTTACCCCAATGTCTTACCCCCTCAATTTATATTACCCCTTCTTCCTCTTCCTTTCTCCCCTGTTTTGCTCTCTCTCTCTCTCTCTTCCCCTCTTTCCCCCTGGATCTCTACCCCCCCTTCTCTCTCTCTCTGTCTTTCTCCCTCCTGCCCTTTTTCTCTCTTTCTCTATTTCTGCCCTTTGCTCTCTTTTCCCTTTTTTGTCCCTCTCCCTCCCTCCCCCTTTTTATATCTCTCCCTCTCTTTTCAGCACTATCTCCCTGCTCTCTCTCACTCTTTTTCTATCTGTCTCTACCACTCCTCTTCCTATCCAGTCTATATTTGTTTCCTCCCTCTCTATATTTGTAAAGATATAGATCTGTATAAATGCCTATAATACACATCGACATATTGCCTATACAATGTTATTATGTTATACTTATATATTACAATATATCTTATAAATAAACACAACTATATATAAAATGAGTACCCAGTGTGGATAAAATACACATAAATGTAGTCTCACATTCTTATTTTTACATGTTAAAACTGTGATTGCAATATTT